ACAAAGTAATTCAAACGTATTAAACCAAAATTATAGAATACAATTTATGTCTCTAAAATTTTTTATAAATATTAAATAAAAAAAAATTATTAGCATTGCAGTTAAAGTTAAAATATTCAAAATATTATTAAAGTTTTTATTTTCTATCGAAAAAAAATTTTATCACATTATTATTAAAGTTGTTCATAATAATAATAATTATTATTATTATTATTATTATTATTATTATTCATATTATAATATTATATTAATAATATTAATAATTATGAGTTAATTTAATTATATAATAATATAAATTTATTTTTATTTTAAATATATTACACATAAGAATTTTTAAATAATAAAAACTCAATTTTATAATATTATAATATTTTAAAATAATCATCATCAACTTAGTACAATATTGTTTTAAAGAATTTTTTTTATTATTATTTAATCATTATATATTTATTAATGAAAATTGCAATAAAGAAGAATTAGTCCACAATTTAAATTATAGAAGTAACATTACTTTATTGATGGCAAGTACTTCTGAAAAATAAAAATTAAATTTCTTAATTAGAAATTTAGAATTTATGTATTATTTCAGAAATTAAAGGTTTAGAAATTATTTATATTTTTATTTTTAAAAATAGGTGCAATACACATACGTGAAAATTTAATAATACATAAGTTATTTAATTATTTAATAATGTTTAAAAATTTTATTTATGGAATTGAGGCTAATTAGGGAACAAATGAATAATAATAAATTATAATAAATAATAATTTATACAATCTTCGGATTTAAATAGTTGAAATATAACCGCTTGTAAATAATAATCATGTAAAAAGTTGTAAAATTAAAGGATATACAATAAAAAACAAAACTTTTACTCACAATTGTTTATTTTAAAACTTATAAATTTAATTTAATCCATGTCCATAATATCCCTAAAAATATGGTTAAGTTTGCTCAATTGTATCTCGCATGACAACAATAATTTGAAAAAGGATAAATTTTAAGAAATTAGTCACATTTACAAGAATTATTTTGATCATACATTTAAAGAAATTATTTTCAATTAAAATAAATCACCCCACAGTTGCTTCACAATGATATGGGCATATCTCTAGAACTTTTAAACTTTATGTTATCGCTCATTATGATACCTTAAGAATTTTTTAAATAATTTTTCAATACCATAATTTGACCAATTATAGGGCTTTTTATATGTATCATGCGTTATATAATTTTTTTAATTATGTAGGAAATGACGAACGTAAGTTAAAGTGGTGAAATCGACAGTTTCTAGTGTGTGATATTGACTGGTTTTTTTAGTTTATAGACTGTAACTTTTTTAACGAAACATTGTGTGTCTTGTGGCTTGCAATAGGAGCCGGTGGGAGTGTAAAGAACTAAAAAATCCATGAAACAATGATGTGCCTCAAATTGAATAAAAACTATGTAGCTTCAAACTTGCGAGACAACTTTTTCAAAATTTCTACAAGTTAGCAGTTAAACTGATATAACTTTTTTAACGAAGGTTTTTGAGTAACGGCACAACGGGATTATATTATCTACCTAATAAGAAGTAATTTAAACCCATACAGGAATGTGTGCCTCCTTTACACAAAGAATGCAATGACTTCAAACATTAAATTTTAAAACGTAACTCAAATCAAAATACCACATATTTGAAAAGCACATGTTGAATTTTGCTTCTAAATGCTCCCAACTCATTGTAATCTCTTCTCATGCATTATAAAAGTATACAGAAAAATAGTTAACCTTTGCACACTTCATTAAAACTGTATAATTAATAATGAATATAAACCTAAACTGTCCGACGCATAGTTTGTGAAGAAAAGTAAGTATTAACCAATAGATGTGTTTAAATCTGGCTGATATTTCTCACTCGAAGGTTTTTGGGGTTGCTGCGACTACTAATCTGAATTTTAAATTTTCCAAAATTCAAAATGGCGAATCCAATATGGCGGACGACTTTTTAAAAAAGTGATCCCATTGGCCTAAAATTTGTTACTCGGGGGTTTATGGGGTCGCTGATTACGAATCTGAACTTAATTTTTAAAAATTGAAAATGGTGGATCCAAAATTGCAAACAAAATTTTTTAAAAAATTTTTAAAAAATTAAATTTTTAAAAATTCAAAAATTGTTATAAACTACATTTACTTATGACTTAATAAGCAATAGGCCATAAAATTTTCGAAACTGTAGCATTAAATCATTTTAAAGGTGGTAGCGACCCAAAAAACCCCCGAGTAACAAATTTCAGACAAATTCGATCAATTTTTTTAAAAGTCGTCCGCCATATTGGATCCGCCATTTTGAATTTTGAAAAACTAACGTCGCATTTGTAATCAGCGACCAAAAAAATCCGCGAGTATCAAATTTCAGTCAGTTTTAAACACATCTAGAGATTTTGGGCAGGTTTTTTGCAATAAGGCCCACTGTGATGCGTAACAATGTGTAAAAATGAGTTACGCAAATTTTTTTATAGTATTTGATCAATACTGAAGACAATAAAATTTGTTTCACGAATGTGCCCTGAAAAAAAAATTAATTTTTCTAATATCTCAAAGTTTAAAAGTTCTAGAGATATGCCCATATATTATTTATTTATTACACTGGGTTACAAAAAAATGGTCAAGTCGTGTTTATTTAAAATTTTTTGTGTTTATTGGAAGTTTAGGTGTCACTGAACAAGAATATACCCAAAAAAAATTTTTCCATTCTGTCAGTTCCGTAGAAAACGAGATTAAAGTGTCAAAAAATCGCCTTTTTAGCACTTTTTGAAGTGTTGTAAAATGAAAACGCAACAAGATAAAAATCTTCACGAGGGCTTGAATGAAAGCTTAAACCTTCAACTTTGAGTCCCAAAACTGAAAAGTGAATGATAATTGCGCAGAAAATTTATATAACATGAAATGAATATCTCAAATAGTCAAAATAGCTGGGATAGAGAGCACTTGTTAAAAATCGATTTTCATAACCGAATTTATTTGGAACTTGTTACTTGGAAGTTTGTAACGTTTCTATTGACGTTTCGAAAGTTGGATTTAAAAATTTTAAAATGGCGGATTAAAAATTGCGTTCAAATATTTCAAAAAACCCCGAGGAAAAAACTGCGAAAAAATTCACTCCATTTTTGAAATTTTTGAACGCCATTTTGAAATTTTTAAATCCAACTTTCGAAACGTCAATAGAAACGTTAAAAACTTCCAAGTAACAAGTTCCAAATAAATTCGGTTATGAAAATCGATTTTTAACAAGTGCTCTCTATCCCAACTATTTTGACTATTTGAGATATTCATTTCATGTTATATAAATTTTCTGCGCAATTATCATTCACTTTTCAGTTTTGGGACTCAAAGTTGAAGGTTTAAGCTTTCATTCAAGCCCTCGTGAAGATTTTTATCTTGTTGCGTTTTCATTTTACAACACTTCAAAAAATGCTAAAAAGGCGATTTTTTGACACTTTAATCTCGTTTTCTACGGAACTGACAGAATGGAAAAATTTTTTTTGGGTATATTCTTGTTCAGTGACACCTAAACTTCCAATAAACACAAAAAATTTTAAATAAACACGACTTGACCATTTTTTTGTAACCCAGTGTTATTTATATGTATATTATTTATTTATTATTAATTTTATTATTTATTTATGTACTGCATATTACCAAACTGTGATTTAATATTACTCATATATGCCACTATCTCAATTTAAGTGTGTATAAAATTTATATGTATAGTTAACCATAACACAGCCCCACAAAAAAAAAGTATCGTGCGCGGCAGACCAGACTAGTCATTTCCTATGTATTTTGACGCGCTGAACACGAATCCGAAGTCCGTTTTTCTCCATCACGTCAGGATTTTTTTCTAACCTCCAAAAACCTGTCGGATTTTGAGAGGTAGGCTATTTTTTTTAAAATTGATGGATTTACTTCAAAATTGGTATCTAGGGGTTTTTTGGGTCGCTGATGACGAATTTGAAGTTAGATTTTCAAAATTCAAAATGGCGGCTCCAATATGGCGGAGGAATTTTGTAAAAATTGATGGATTTACTTCAAACTTGGTATCTAGGGGTTTTTTAGGTCGCTGATTACGAATCTAAAGTTAGATTTTCAAAATTCACTGTAATCTCCCAAATTTTCAGGGAATTGATCCCGATGCGTGTCTAAGTAATGCAACTTTATGCTCATTAAGCATCCTAACTTACCAAAGTTTTTAATCATATCACTAACTATTTGCTCCCAATTTTCACTCTTGTGATTACCCAGAAAATTTTCGACAACTGCTTTGAAACTAAGCCATGCGGCTTTCTCCTTTTTATTCATCTTGGTGATAAATTGCTCATCTTTTAACAATTTGCGAATACGTGGTCCGTCGAAAACCCCTTCTTTTAGTTTCGCATCAGAGATTTCTGGAAACTTTTGTTCCAGGTATTTGAAACAGTTTCCTTTTTTATCTAAGGCTTTGACAAACTGTTTAATTGCTCCTAGTTTCGTGTGTAAGAGCGGAATTATCACCTTTGAAGGGTCGATATCGTCCGCCATATTGGAGCCGCCATTTTAAGTTTTGAAAATCTAACTTTAAATTCGTAATCAGCGACCCAAAAAACCCCTAGATACCAAGTTTGAAGTAAATTCATCAATTTTTACAAAATTCGTCCGCCATATTGAAGCCGCCATTTTGAATTTTGAAAATCTAACTTCAAATTCGTCATCAGCGACCCAAAAAACCCCTAGATACCAATTTTGAAGTAAATCCATCAATTTAAAAAAAAATAGCCTACCTCTCAAAATCCGACAGGTTTTTGGAGGTTAGAAAAAAATCCTGACGTGATGGAGAAAAACGGACTTCGGATTCGTGTTCAGCGCGTCAAAATACATAGGAAATGACTAGTCTGGTCTGCCGCGCACGACACTTTTTTTTTGTAGGGCTGTGTAATTGTCTTTAACGAAATTAACCTTAAAATTCTTTTTCTTTTTACAGAATGGTACCTTTATCGCTGGGTAAATGAACAAAATGGATTGAGTGAGAAAAAGACAGAAACAACTGTTCAAAATATGGAATACGAGGTTTATGACGAAGACTTTTTGGAGGATTTTAACATCCAAAGATTCCAAAAGGAACAAAAAAACAGAGAAAGTAAAGTTCTTCGCACGCCTCGGAGAAACCATCGCTCACAGCCATATTCAAAAAATTGAAAATATATATATATATGTCTTAATTTTTAATGTAAAAAGAATGTGAATAAATAAATAAACATAAATAGTGTATATGAAGATTACGATTATTCTACAACCTTTCCCATACATTAAATTAATTTTAAAAAAATTATTCAATTTTTAATTGTTTTTATCATTAAATAATAATATGTTATAACAAATTTTTAATTATTTAATAATATAAAAGAAAAGTATTAATTTTTTTGTTTTTTATTATGAATATATTCGATATTTTCCATTTTATATATATATATATATATATATAATATATGTCTGGTGTTACTAAAATTAAATTATGGACTTAAAAAAAACTTGATATAGTTTCTCTCTCTCTCTCTCTCTCTACAATACTCATAACACCTTACCCCCACCTACACTACACATTTTACTTTCACCAGTATATACGTCATCACCCCTCCCTCCTTCCACCTCCACCCCCCTCTGCAACCAGCAAGTCCCACTAGACACGGGCCCCGCTCCCCTCTACACCCCCGCTCCACGGACTGTCTGGCGCCACTAGGCCACCCCCATGACGGCGGACCATACGCACCCTATACTACTTATGCTTTACATATTTTTATGAATTTTAGACAAAATTTCTATAAATTACCGCATAAATTTCCATAAATTACCTCGAAAATTTCCGTAAATTACCGAAATAAAAATTTTTAATTGCCGTTCGCGCATTATATATTTTTGTGAATTACCCCAAAAATTCGCATAAACATTTTAAATCAAATTTCAACTATTTTATAGAATTCAACAAGCAAAGAATTTTTTTTTAATTTGTTTAAAAAAATTAAAAAATTTTTCCGGACCACCATGGATATTTATTTCTTGACACTTTATCTTCAAAAATATGTATTGATATTTATCATTTCGATAAAAAAATATTTTTAAAGTTTCAGACACCAAATCGTGCGCTACGCGGAGAATCACCCATGTACATGTATATCGTTTGCGTTGTCATGGCAATGCTCCTCAGCTGTCACGTTCAGCAAAGTGGACTACTATTGATGTATTTTGCTAAAATAATTTTTTATTTATTTCTCTGTCCTTAATGAGACCATAAGCTTTATTATTTATAAATATTTACTTTTCCAAATGGAAAAAGCATTCTTTTATGTAATTTCTTTGAAAAAATGGTTACAGTTTCTGATATACATTGTCAGTATCTAAGATGTGTATGTGTATTTTACCGACACTAAATTTACTGAAATAATTTTAATTAAAATAGACTTACTATATGAATTTTTGTCTGATGTAATAAATTTCACAAAAAGATATAATATTATTTTTTTAGTTTTTACAACAAGAATATTTGGAAAATTAGAATAATGAATTTTTATTATTTATGTTCCGTCATTATAAAAACATATACAACGCCATCTCTATACATTATCGCAAAACATCCACTCACGTAAAACACATAGCAAAACTGTCATATTTAGTCATTTTCTGCTACAAAACATTTATAATGTGATAGTATAAAAATAAAGTTTTTGTTGTGTTTTATGTGTCTAATGACACATAAGCTTTATTTTGTAATTATATTTCGATTTCCAAATGAAAACACCATTCTTTATTTTTTTTTCAAGAAAATATGGTTACAGGTAGGATGCATTGAGTGAGCAGTTACAGAAAAAGTACTCATATTTAATTCTTCAATACTAAATTTTTTAATAATTATAATCTAAAAAAGTTTGGTCTTGTGTTTTTTTTTATAAATAATCAAATCCCCAAAAAGAAAATAGCATTTTATTCAATAAATTTTACGCAATCATGGTTACAGGTTTTTCAATAATTTAGTTCTGATTGTGATGTCTCTGCCGAATATTGACCTGCCCTTAAAGCAGTTCTAATTGTGACGTCACGTATAAGTGACGTCATTTTCCAAAATTACAACAGTCTATTCAAATTAATAATGTCAAGAAATGGTTTCTTTTACATAATTTTTGCTTCCTCGTGGATGAAGCTTTGTAGTCCTTTCGTTTATAAAACTTTTCAAAGTGGCGGAAACAAATTTTTTTCTTTATAGAAACATGTTATATGAGATCCTGATCAATTGTCCGGATGTATGTGTGTGGATCCCTTTTTTGTTTAGAAAATAACTTTAACAGGTTTTAATGGATTTAGACAAAATTTGGTATGCTTATTTGTCAAATTAACAATAATTCATATGGATGAAGAGTAAGAAAGGAAAAGTGAAACATATTTGTACTTTATTATTAGAAAATGTTATATATGGGCATATCTCTAAAACTTTTAAACTTTATGTTATCTCTCATTATGATACCTTAAGAATTTTTTTAATAAAACTTCAATACCATAATTTGACCAATTATAGGGCTTTTTAAATGTATCATGCGTTATATAATTTTTTTAATTATGTAGGAAATGACGAACGTAAGTTAAAGTGGTGAAATCGACAGTTTCTAGTGTGTGATATTGACTGTTTTTTTTAGTTTATAGACTGTAACTTTTTTAACGAAACATTGTGTGTCTTGTGGCTTGCAATAGAAGTAGGTGGGAGTGTAAAGAACTAAAAAATCCATGAAACTATGATGTGCCTCAAATTGAATAAAAACTATGTAGCTTCAAACTTGCGAGACAACTTTTTCAAAATTTCTACAAGTTAGCAGTTAAACTGATATAACTTTTTTAACGAAGGTTTTTGAGTAACGGCACAACGGGATTATATTATCTACCTAATAAGAAGTAATTTGAACCCATACAGGAATGTGTGCCTCCTTTACACAAAGAATGCAATGACTTCAAACATTAAATTTTAAAACGTAACTCAAATCAAAATACCACATATTTGAAAAGCACATGTTGAATTTTGCTTCTAAATGCTCCCAACTCATTGTAATCTCTTCTCATGCATTATAAAAGTATACAGAAAAATAGTTAACCTTTGCACACTTCACTAAAACTGTATAATTAATAATGAATATAAACCTAAACTGTCCGACGCATAGTTTGTGAAGAAATGTAAGTATTAACTAATAGATGTGTTTAAATCTGGCTGATATTTCTCACTCGAAGGTTTTTGGGGTCGCTGCGACTACTAATCTGAATTTTAAATTTTCCAAAATTCAAAATGTCGAATCCAATATGGCGGATGACTTTTAAAAAATTGATGCAATTGGCCTGAAATTCGTTACTCGGGGGTTTTTTGCGTCGCTGACTACGAATCTGAACTTAGTTTTACAAAATTCAAAATGGCGGATGCAATATGGCGGATGACTTTTTACAAAATTGATCCCATTGGCCTAAAATTTGTTACTCGGGGGTTTATGGGGTCGCTGATTACGAATCTGAACTTAATTTTTCAAAATTCAAAATGGTAGATCCAAAATTGCAAACAAAATTTTTTAAAAAATTTTTAAAAAATTAAATTTTAAAAAATTCAAAAATTGTTATAAACTACATTATAAACTACATTTATGGCAATGGGCCATAAAATTTTCGAAACTGTAGCATTAAATCATTTTAAAGGTGGTAGCGACCCAAAAAACCCCCGAGTAACAAATTTCAGACAAATACGATCAATTTTTTTAAAAGTCGTCCGCCATATTGGATCCGCCATTTTGAATTTTGAAAAACTAACGTCGCATTTGTAATCAGCGACCAAAAAAATCCGCGAGTATCAAATTTCAGTCAGTTTTAAACACATCTAGAGATTTTGGGCAGGTTTTTTGCAATAAGGCCCACTGTGATGCGTAACAATGTGTAAAAATGAGTTACGCAAATTTTTTTATAGTATTTGATCAATACTGAAGACAATAAAATTTGTTTCACGAATGTGCCCTGAAAAAAAAATTAATTTTTCTAATATCTCAAAGTTTAAAAGTTCTAGAGATATGCCCATATACATTTTATTTATTTATTTAAATTTTTTACTTCCATTATGTTTGAGGCAATATACACAGAATTTGAAAAATAGGTCAGCCCTCATAACTTGAATTCCTTCAGAAAAATATGGCTTTTCTGACATGTTAAATATTTGTAATAACAATTTTTAAGCATTTTTAAATTTTTGTTTCTCACGACCATCCAATTTTTGTAATTAAAAACTTAAATCTAAAACAATAAATTTTTGAAAAAACATGGTTTTCACATATAAAAGATACATTATGCAATTAACGATGATAAGAGCAAAATTGGATTAAAATAATAAGCGTTGCAGCTTATTTTAATACCTTTTAATTTTCTGTGAATATATAACCAATTATTTAGAAGTACGTGCACTTTTCGACTTTCCTTCAAGTCTGTTTAATAATTATTGTTACTTTAATCTTTAAGTGTAATCAATACAACGATAAAAATGACTTTTTAATTATAAAATACATTTATATGATTTTACATATAATAATCGTGAATATCTTTCGTTCATTCTGTCCACACCTGAAGTTAGTATTTGTTATAGGTCTTTTGTTTTTTTTAAATGTGTTGTTTGACATTATTTTGTGTTGGTTAAAATTTTTCAATGTTTTGACATTGTCATTTGTGCGGTCGTATTTTAATTATTAAAAATTATAAAATTGTTAGAATTGTGCAAAAAAATTGTGAGGATTGTAAGAAAAATTGATTCGATTGCTGTTAGAGTAAGCTGCATAAGTTGATGGTAAGTTTAATTTAAAATATATAATAATTTTATCAAATTTCAAAAATTTATTTAATTAAATCACGATAATTTAATTAATTTTAAAAATAATAAAAAAAATTTTATATTATTTATTTATTTATTTCATATTTATCATTCATATTATATATTACAAATTAAATTTTTTTTTATTTTCACAAAATATTTATTTATTTTTGTTATTATAATTAAAAAAATTTATATTATATATATATTTATATTATATATATACATATAAATTATTAATTTTGAATAAATATTAATTTTTTTAATAATTTTTATTTTTAAATATAAAATTTTTTTAAATAATTTTTATTTAAAATAAAATTTA